TAGTTTGTTCTTTAAAGAAGGCTAAGAATTGCATTACAGACCTGGAGCTTACCATTACTCACTAATACACCCTGAACCAGGAATCATTGGTCAAGCTCTGCTATTTTATAGATGGGATAAAATTAACGCTTACATTAAATATTTGCCGTCGAAACTACCGATTGTCCATCACTTCTCCGCGTTTTCTGGTCCCTATTGGACATCGTCGGCATGGGCGTTGAAAACTGTGGGGTATGTGTCGTTCCCCCGATTACTTAACTTATAGAAAGGCCCCTGAGTGCAACTCCACGCCGCTGTCATGAGAACGCATGCCGTGGCTATCGATTTTTCATCATGGCTGATTGGTCCCCTGTTGCTGACGCCTGTTCATGGAGCAGACTGAATAAATAGCCCGTAGCCTTTTTGTAAGAGGAATTTGCTTGACTGACAATGACATGCTTTGACTTGCTTTGTAGGAATCCACTTATCTCTCTGGCCGATTGCCTTCTCTTCTTCTCTTGTGCTGGCGTTCTGGACAGCAGTCGGGCTTTCCCACAGTCTGCTCTAATTAAAAGTGCCGGGTGTGGATCGTCACAAAAACAATGACAGAACGGAACTTAGCGCGGGATTCCGCAAAGACCTGGCTTATGATGAAGTCGCCCTTTTCTGACTTTGTCTTCGTCGGCTCATACTGTAACTTCGTCACACTGGGCTATTATGGGCTACAATGCCTTCGCTCAGGGGGCTCTGTGGAGTAGTCTACCTTGCCGACGTTGAGGTTTCCTCAATTCGTGTGGAAATACAAGTGCAGAAATGATGTGTGCACAATTCTTGATTTCCAGCAAACTTTTCGTGTCCACTGACACACTACCTACTCTTATGACCATTTGGCAGTTATCCTGAAAGCAGGTTTTTGGCTCGACGTCAGACAGTCACGAGAGGCAAATGGTTTAGTGTTACAAGGTGCACTCAGAGTTGGGCTACTACAGGCTGCACCGAGCATTTTTTTTCCCTCGTCGTATTGCTTTATTTAGGTTTAATACTTTTAGCTTGTAAATGAGAAGAGGCATTGGCCAGAAGAAAGTTTTAGTATGTGGCTAACGTTTTGGGGCGTTGTTTCGTTGAATCATCTTTTAATAACTTAAAAGTCATACGAATAGTCCTCATTATATGCTGCTTTTTGTCCTACGTATAGCTTGGCAATAATGACAACAAGCGCCTGGAGTAAAAGTGTGGAGGTTTATGAAAATGAAAGCTTTTTGTCATAACCGTCGATCTAACTGCTCTACGTAGATGTTCGCTCGTACGGGTCTGTGATATTGTGTGCCCTGGTGCCAACTGGGTCTGTGCCATTTTACCATGTTAACCACTTCTCTATTGCCTATGTTTTCCTACGTTGGGTTATGCCCTCCTCAATTTCGTCTTCCAACAGATTTCTCGTTGAACTGCTTCTTGTACATTTATCCCTCGCTATAGGCGGACATCACGTTCCTGTTTGTGAATCTGCTCTTCCTGCGACCGGGTTTGGAGAAAGAGGGTGCCGCTGTGGAGTGTCAGCGCTTGCAATCTATGCGGACCATGCGAACCTCTGAGGTCAAAAGCGACGCTACTGCTGAAGGCAATGGTCGCAGGCAGGAGACGCCGTTGCCGTCGCTGGCTGCCTGCGATGAGGGTTTCCCCCGGCTGCCCATCGGGGACTCCCACGAGGCCTTTCTCCTACGTGTCTGCTACTTGGCTCTCTTGGTGCAGGCTCTGCTTTCCTGGCAGAGCAACGAACAGCAGAAACTGGACTTCACCCAAAAGAACAGTGATGAGCAGCAGCAGGAGTATCTTTACTCCGAAACGGATCCGCATGTGTCCGCCTGGCTGACCAACGAGGTAGGTCCCTTAATTAGCCCTTCGGCTTTCTGGGCGGTGATTGGTTATTTCCGCAGCTTATGGTTATTGTATACTATTGCGTACCTAACAAACCTTGAACAAGGCTTTTTGTGCCGAAGACAGACCCTTTTTAGCAAAGCTTCCCTCTACTGAGCTGGCAGCAC